AAAATCCTTTCTGGCATTGACACATACGTGCCAACTGTTGCATATTCCGAAAGCATGTGACACTCACGCTTGTTATTATTATATTTGCCTTAGGTTCCTAGTGGGACGTAGGGCTTCAGTAGCGCGTCTTCATTTCAATGTGTTCTCTACAGTCTTTTGAACTTGGCTCCACAACTGCCCATAAGCTGCCACTTCTCACCACATGACCTCCATGTCTCCCTTGGACGCCCAACATGTCGTTTCCCCTTTGGGTTCTACTTGAAGGCCTGGCTCGTGACATCCCGAATGGTCCTCTCAGTATATGCTCAATCTATCTACACTTTCTCCTGCATATTTGTTGGGCGACAGATTCTTGGCTGCCTCGTTGCCATGCCAAGGTTGGGTGATAGGTTTTTAGTTAAGTCGTTCCTAGAGTCCTTTGTCGCCAAACACTTCTGGCCAACTGACTTCGCATGCCGAGTGTAGACAGTTGTTGATGAACGTCTATGGTTTGTCGGAAGTGCTATTCTTGGTGCGCAAAGATCTTGAAAAATGTAGCAACACTGACTTGACTGAATTAGTGTTTAAAAACTGCATCTTGTTCCTTGTACTAAGCACAGCGGATCTCTTCTGTGATTTCAGAATAATGAAAACCCACCTCGCCGGCTTTCATATCCTGGCTGGCTTTGACATCCTCATGTGTGCATGTGACGCCTGTGGTTGAGATGATGCTGTCAAGGTAGGTGAAAGAGACCGCTTCCTTTAGGTCTCCCGCGTTCATGATGACTGGTGCTCGTTGTTTTTGTTTGGTTAGACACCTTAATTACCTCTATCTTCTCTAGGTTCACCCGAAGTCCAGCCTACGCTGCCCCGCCTCTTTTGCCAACTTGTTGGCTTTCGCCTGTGGATCTATGAGTTTGTACGTCGGTGGAATCCAAATTTTCTAGGGTCTTTTCATCGGTCCAACAGCGTATGCCCATCTTCTCGCTCCTCACAGTTTCCAGCATGATTCAGTCCAGTCGACCACAGTCAGGAAGATCATCGGTGATGGTAGTCAGCCTTGTCTTACTCCTGTCTTTACTTCGAAGGCGTCACTGGGCTTTCCAATGTGTATCACTTGGCATGTGGCGTCTTCACATAGCTGTTGAGTGAGGTTGATGATGGTTTTTGGTATTCCGTGGTGTTGAGGCGGCTGCCCACCAAACTACTTGTCCGTCGACGCTGTCGAAGGTGTTTTCAAAATTGAGGAAGTTGACATAGTGCTGACTCACCCCCTGCATAACATATTTAGAAGTATATCAAACCTCACTCGGTTAACTAACCCACTTGTTTGCCAGCCGAACCTAGTCGCAGATAGCAAGTGAATGGTGGGCATAAGCCTAGTAACCCTACTCCGTAAAACCAACTACAGGTGGCACAGGAACACATGAGGACGTCAAAGCCAGCCAGGCTCGAAAAGTCTGCAAGACAGGCCCCGGTTGATCTGAAATCAGTGTGGAGATATACTGCACTGTAACTCACTTCACTCAGCATGGAGCGTGAACAAGATCCGGATTTTCAACACTAATTCAGTCAAGTCAGTGCTTCCTGTGATGGTTGAGAGACTTGACACGCCACGAAGAGCGTTTACAACAAACTACAGACATTCATCAACAGTTACCTACACTCGATGCTGAAGATTGAATCGGAAGGCCGGAAAGAATTGGCATGACAACGAGACAAGAAAGAATCTATTGCCAGACATATATGCAGAGGAAAGTCTTGATGGAATGGATTGAAACTGGGACTTGCTACTGGGGCCCTACGCTTCACTAGGATATCATCGGAAAATTAACATAATGTGAAATTTATTTGGTTGATCTGTTAGTGCGTGTATGACTGCATAGGTGCCATTCGAATGGCTATGAATGCATTGGAACTTCCGTTTTTTTCAGGTTTGATTGATTGGCAATTTGTTTTTCCGTATCCGCTCGTGCTTTTTCTTTTCTCCTTTATGCAGTGGAGCTGGATGGGAGCCTTTGTTACTGAATTTTAATCTGAGGAAAACTTCTTGTTGGAAATAGTAGCTGCCCTGCGACGCTGAGGAATACTGGGCCGCTTCCAACCTTTCGGGGTCTGTAGAACGTCTTCATGGAGAACTCACCCACTGACCAGGATTCTCCAAGCAGGGAACCGTCTAAATTTTTCAAACAGTTGTGTAACAGAGATATTCCGGACTAATGACTAACCTGAGACTGATTTATCCACTGGCTCGGAAGGCGATTCACCTGTGGTAGCCTCACACCACACGCTTTCTACTGCTCTGTATCAAGTGATCTTTTCAAACAGAAGTTATTGTGCATCAGCACGCCTTCTGGACGATGCTGCCTACATTAATATGAAAGATGCCTTGAGTCTATGTGTAACTACTGCCATTTGGACGAACGGTCGTTTCAAGGTCTATTTCTATGCACCACAACAGGTACTTCCACTGGACCCCGAGGAGAAAGTTCAGAGGGGGGCCACAAAAGGCGTAGTAGACATGCGCCAAAAACCATACGAGGATGGTCTAGAATACCCAGGGCACACTGCCTTAATTACCGCACGTTACGAGGTGATTTGATAAAGGCTCACAAAACACTAAATGACCGAAGTCACCCGGACGGAGGAGTACCGCCGAGTGGCCACTATGGCGATCCGCGTGGAAATCCAAGCAGCATTGCTCAACAAAGGCCAAAAACTCGCACGCGTTCAGACTTCTTCCTTCAAGTCTGTGGGCGCTGGAATGCATTACCAGCAGAGGTAGCCCCCACCCTATCTGTTGATGGTTTCAAAATGGGTCGGATAGTTGCACAGTGATCCACGGTTTGCGCTCATCTGGTTGGAATACGAACCAGAACGAAGAAATCAACTGATGTCAAACCAATTCTCTTCCTGCTTTGACCATTTAGGCCGTTTCCATTCTTCTTACCCGGCTATGAATTACTTCCAGTCTCCTAAATTCTGCATATCTTTGCACCCCTGTCGTCTTACCTGAGTGCACTTAGATTAACCCCACTACTTCACCCATTTATCTCTTACTGACATTCACATATCCTCATGGGTCACCTCTTCACTATCCACAACTCCTTCTTACGATCAGTTCGAACAACCGCGCGGCAACTCGACATCTGAAGAGCCTGACTACATCATAGACCTACGTAGACTACCCAACATTCAACCACCTATTGGGTTTACCAGAGCCATAGCAGGTGAAAGGCTCGGTCCACTGCATCAGAATTTACCAAGGACCAGGAACCGTTGGGCTAGACCTAGAGGCAAGGACCAAGAAATTGATCAGTTTAAACAAGGTTGTCAGTCAGTTACTGGATGTTGTTGAGTTGGTGCGGCGCAAACTGCAACTGCTCACAAAAGTCACCCCCGGGTACCAGATAGATCCAGGCAGTGGTACTGCTGGGAGGAGCACCACTCTCATCTGAACCTTCAGGTAAGTTGTTTGACGATTCCCTAAGTCAAGGGAAAGTACCCGATCTTTCGGAAGTTGGGGTGCATTAGGCCAGTCTTCAAAAGGGGGTCAACGAAGCAACCCAAGGAAATACAGAGCAGTGATACTTTTATCCCTACCTCTGGACGTTGTGTAATCGGTAACCTGTGTCGTACTGAGGTGGTCAGAATGCATCTGTCAGCGTCTATGGGCCTCAGTAACGCTGATCGAGAAAGGTGTTCGCCTGCATTAATAAGCTGCTCACTGCAATATATATGGTCTCATACTGTTGATTATCTAGGACGACTTTATGTTATTTACCTGGACTTTGCAAAGGCGTTGGATAGTGTTGATCACGATTGTCACACTGATAAATCAGGATTAATCAGGAAAAGACTACCACTCGTTGACTGATTGTTTTCGTATTTACGAGGCCGTTCATTCAAATTTCTAGTGGGTTTCCCAGTGTCTGAAGAAACAGAATGTCTTGCCGGTGTTCCTTAAGGTTCCGTACCGCGGCCTCGTCTTTTTCTAAAATACATAAATGACTTGCTCAAAGAGGTTTCTCCTGGAATCCTTATTTTTGCTGATAACACGAGACTGTGGAGACAGACCAGAAGTGAGGAATGCAGTGTCTCCCTACTGGAGGATATAACCCAACTTCGAAACTGGGAGGTCAGTAACGGGCTGTTATTTAAGCCCGCAAAGTGTTAGGTTGTACATATAAAACCCGACCCACGTCATGTGCAAAGCCTCGATAACACGGAACTTAGAGCACTGCTGACGGTAAGGGATTTGGGAGTTTCGGTCCTCAAGACCTTAAATCATATGACAAATTTAACAGAAACTCATTTCGTGGAAACTAGGCATAGGTAACTTCTAGACGAAGCTTTGGACTGCTCAATTGTAGACGTCTCCGCTAGTTTTTTGGGAGCTTCATTAGGCCCCACCTGGAGCTCGGGACCCTCGTCTTCCCCTCTTCCTTTGCAAAAGAGCAAAATTCAGCTCATAAGGCATCCAGAGGCACTCGACCAAATCTCTTCTCGGACTTAGGTCTAAAACACTCGACGAACGACTGGATATGCTAGATTTACACCTCCTGGGGTGTAGAAGGTCAAGAGGAGACTCGATAGTGACGCAGAATATCCTCAGCACCCCGAACGTCCACTACATTACTTACTAAATCTTAGCGGTGGCATTAATTTTGGAAGATATACAGCAACAGCCCGGAACATAGGAAGTTAGATATTAGGCATAACTTATATTCCATAAAAATTGTTAAAATGTGGACTGCTCATCCTGCAGACGTGACCCGGGCTACTTCGTCTAAACCCTTTAGAAGCTGGCTGAATACCTATTTAACATGTGGCTGGGATCTACCCAGAAATAATTGAATTTTCACATTTTAACCGTCACTTTTCTCTCTTTCTTTACTTGTATACAGTAACAACCACAAGAAGTGATCCGCAAATTTTTAGACATGGAAGCCAGTTAAGCGAAAGCTTCTTCTATTCCAACAACAACCATTTGAACATTTGGGATTGGCAATTGTTCCCTTGAATAATTTATAGCTTCAACTCGTCCACTTCAGGAGTGAACCGAACAACTCGAACCAAGCCCTAAGAACTAGACACGAGACATCAAAAACTACCAGTTTTCTACGCCTGCACTATTAATATTGGAATATTGGATATTGGAACTCGCGCTGATTTGAATGTTTTGAGGATGACTACATCTCAAAAGCATAAAAGTTTTGTATCAGAACCGATTTCCGAAAAAGTTGTGGAAGAAATTCCCGGGATCGGCGAAAAACTTGGAGAGAGACTTAAAGCCAAAGGATATGACAAAGCTTATATCGTTTTAGGACAATTTCTCCTTCTGAGGTGTGAAGAAGATCTGTTCAAGGAATGGCTTTCACAGACATGTGGTGCTAATTCTAAGCAGTCTGGAGATTGCTATACTGCACTCAAGGACTGGTGTAGTTGCTTCATATTTTAACTAACTGGAAAACACAATTATGTAAATCGCTTGTTATATGAACCATATTTTTCTCTACATAAATGAAATTTGTTATTACTTGTTTTGTCTCCCGAATGCGTGCATTGAGTTGTCCACTGAAGTTTATTTCTGCGCAAATATTACATCTTGTTTTCATATACGAGTTTAACAGTTTAAGCGCATCATACATTGGATTGTCTTCGAATCATAATCGGATCAGTTAGTAACTCAATGTTTTTGGAGTGAGTATTGTAGCTCCAGGATTCAACTTATATATTGTTCGCTTGTGGGTCTGAATGTATAAACTGTACACCTGTGTTGAGAGCCATGTGTACGAATTAATACCTTAATGTAGCAGTAAAACTGAAGCTCTTTGATGTAGTATAACTCCATATTAGAATGCTTATTTGATATGACATACAATTATACAGTGTTGTTTACTGGACAGGTAAGTGATACTGTATTACTGTGCGCTATATCAAATAAACAATCAAGTGTATAACGAACTCTTATTCAGCAAAGTCTATAGCAAACTTTAATGCTGAATGCGCGTGCTGCTTATTCAACTTGCTGGTTTTTATTCAGTATTTTAATAGATTTTGGTTCAAGTTACCTGTTATAACAGGCATTTTCACCATGAACTTCTCATGTGTTGCATGCGGTCACATATGAGGTGTTCAAGTTACTTTCTGAATCTGTTTAATTGCGAACTAAGAAGTATTCTAACATTGACATGTTCTGTACCGGAGTTTTCCCCGTCAGTCTGACTGATTAATCGTGTACATAAGAAAGAAGTGGAAGTAGCCTACGTAAATCTGCAGCCAGAGTACTAACTTGCTAGTTTTTTTTGCCAGGAACAAGTTGTCGGTTGTAGGTAACTCGAATGTGCAAAGTCATCTGTATACCAGCAAGCACTTCACGAGTAGGCTTTATTAGGATTGTCGTTTTTAGAAAGTGAATGGGCCGCTTGAAGGTAGTTTGTGGATGGAGGAATTTCTAAGATCGCGTAATTTTCGTAGGCGATTGCTTGGTGGGTTCATACCTAATGGTTGTAGTTAAGTGCATGCTGGAGTAGTGGAATTCACCAAAACTTTTTTTGTCTATGTCAATTTGAACTACTCTAATCCCACATTTCTCTAGGTATTAGACTTGTAATGAAACTATTGTGTGAAACGGTAGTTAGAGGTCAGTATTGGATCAGATCTGATGAGGCATTTATGCGCACAAGAAACAAACAACAACGAAGCCTTTGGGCTCAAGCATAAGATGAATACGTCAAGAATGTATTAAGTAAGATAGATAAGTATTTATATGAATGTAGTAACGATTCTCTTCCTGATAAAGCTTGGTGTTATATTCACTGAGGTAGAAACAGTGGTAAAGATAGCTGGCAACCTAAACTCAAACGTTGGCAAAAGCCAGTGGTAGACAGATAGATAGACGTACCGGACGCCTTGTGCATATCTGTGCAGTATGGAATTAGCTACACCTATTGTGCGACAGCCAGTGATACTACTACCTGGCTGCCCAAACCTCGCTGGAAGAATTGCCCGAACCCGTAACCCAGTGGTTGATAGTCATCTCCCTAAGCCACTGAGCCACCACCAAGGGATTCCCACAACCTCATATAAAATGATTGATGATGACCATGACCATGATAAAAATCGGAAGCAACTTACACGTAAATTTACGAAGAGTTTTCGCAATGATCGCGTGTATTAATGGGTAGCAATAGAAGATATCAGCATTAGGTAATGCTCGGTAATTATTTGAGCATGTTAATAAGACTGAAAACGAGACGATTTTGAGACCATCGCCGAAAAGACTGAACTCACGATAACTTCTCCGGACAGGCGGCTAGAACGTCAGGCAGAACACTGAAGCACAGTTCAATTCGCTCGAAGCAACGCTTCAGTTGCCAAACCTCTAGTTTGGACGTGGACGCAGGTCCTCCAACTCCTGGAAGTTTTGGCTGTTTCAAAATTGAAACGGTGTAAAGTAGCAGGATGTGAAATTTTTAATGATAGAGGTAGAGGTAGACTAGCTGAGATACTAGGTGGTGTTTGGGAATCAGAGGTACTGTCAAACCAGTCTACTTCACTGGTCATTCCTTTTCATAAGAAAGAAGTCTTGTGACAACCATATAGGTGTTATTCTAACTAACAGTGTCCGAAATCTCAGTTATAGTTATCCGACGCCTACTTAGAGGTCAGCAGCAATAAACTTGTGAAAACCAGGTAAGTTTCGGACGTGAACGAGGGTATATCGACCAGATCTTTACTCTTCGTCAGGTTACAAAACGCAGGCCTGCTTACCGATAGACGACACTTGCCATATTCCTTGATGTGAAGGCGATATTCTATTCTTTTGACCAAGAGGTGTTGTGGCAGTGTCTAACTGTGAAGGGAGTATCGAGCAGGAATGTAACTCTAACCAATTTTCTCTGCTGGAAGTCATACAGTCGTTTGAGGGCCTATTGAGGGTTGTGTGCAAAGTTCAGGTCTAGGCACTTGAATTTCAATCGATGGGTCATGGTTTCAATTCCCGCTTTACCTAACGAGATTTGGTTAGCCAGTTAGTTTTATTAACCTTAGCTCAATAGGCGTGGATCTTGTCACTGATTGTATTTCAGTTCAATACATTCTGCAGTGATGACCAGTTGTGTCATCTAGAGATGCCTGCTATCACTGTTCCTGTTTAACTTAGTCATAGACGTACTAATGGATGTAACCCTAAGTATCTCTGATTTCACAGGGATTGCCTTAATTCTTGGAGGGCACCTTGTCGACTTGGAGTGCATAGATCTGGGGCTGGTCTTCAGTTGCTCCTATTTTAAAGATAGGGTGTGAAGTGGTACAATACGTTGACTCCACTTACTTGAGGAGTTGTACCAGCCGGGATGGGTTGGTTGCTGACAGAATCCTGCCTTGGATACAGAAGGCTCGTTTCTTACATGTCAACATGCGTCATCTGTAACACCGACTGGCCAGGTATACGACTACGTATCAAAGGATGAGTATTCTGCACTGCAGCTCGTACTGTCCTGTTATATGGCTGGGAAACATGGCCGTTGAAAGTAGATATAAAGCAGTTACAGGTTTTTGACCAGAGGCGTCTTCGTAGCATTGTTCACGTCTAGTGAAATCACTCAGCAAAGTTGAAATAAAGAGACAAGCGAGTTGGTTGATGTTGTGTACTTTCACCGATTGAAATGGCTTAGATATATGTTGCACCGCCTACCTCGACTTGCAATCGCAGGTGGGATAGCATTGTGTTGCAAAAAGACTGATGGCTGCCAAACCAAGACTTGGCACCAGTTGAAGTCTGATTGTTGGACTGAGCTATGTAGGGAGGTGTAGACTATGTGGATGGGTTCCTTGAGAAGATAAAAATCAATGGTTGGAGACCGTTTGTGACATGGCTGTAAATCGGTCGCAGTGGCATAGACGTATTCATTTGAATATTTTACTAACCTTCATTTCTCAAATTGTTTCTTCTCTCCTTCGATTTCACTCTTTTTCTACCCGCTTATTCTTTGCGTGTTGCTACGATGTGTGGCATCTTGAACTGACGCACTTGTGTGCGGCGTTCTGCGTTGATTTTTTCCACCCGTTTTTCAGCCAATGTTTGTCAGTTGATGTTTAACAAGTTGGGTCTTGACGTTTAAAAGAAATTACCTAACGTTCTGTTGTGTGTTTTAGATGAATACAAAGTATACATAGGGCAATACACACATTTCTGTGGCATTTTAGCATGTCGAAGTGAGATGTAACTTGGGGTCTTATGTGGGAACGTTAGTTTTATCGACTGTTTAATGTTGCCAGTTGCTGTTAGTAACAATAAACCCTGGTTCATTACTTTCTTTTTACCACATACAATCGTTTGAGAGTGAAAGAAGTATTTCAAAAGTACCGAACATTCATCTCACTGATATAAGCGTATTGTGAATCGGTCCAGCTGGTTTACTCACCCATATGGTATTGTGTTGCGAATTAATCGCACTTGATGGGAAATGGGAGTTATTTAGTTTTATCTAGTATTTCAAAGGATGTTGAGGATTTAAAAAGTTGAACGGTATGTAAAAGATAGATAAATGCTTAGTAAGTCCATTGGTGAGGTTGTAAACCTTAGTCGATTAAGATAGCTTGGATATGTACTGTGCATGCCTAGCCACTGCCTACCTTGATGTGCAACACTAGTCGAAGTTAGGTTGTAAGAGTTCAGTGTGACCGGACCAAGATGACAACAGTCGATGACATCTCTAACTATTGAACTGAACCGTGTGGGATATGTAGACTGCCTAGTTGAGGTTCATGAGACGATAGGAATCAGTGGTTGAAGAATCTTAGTAAAATGGGTGGAGGTCGGCTATAGTGGCTCAGATGTATTGACTTTTCGATGTCTTCTAAAACGTACTGACCGTTATCTTGAAATTATTTATTCGCTCACACAACTCTACCTACTTTGATATCACTCTTTTTCTATACATCTGTTCTTTGTGGTACCACTGTGAAGTGTGGCAAGTCGAATAAATGCACTTTTGTGCGAGGTTCTACATTTATTCCGCCTGTCTGTTTGTGGTAATTTTTAGTTACTTTTGGGAGTTTTTTTTCCAGAGTTTCACATGGATCATTAATTTTCAGGTGAACCATTGTTTAGTATTGGTATTCATAATATCAATTTACGATATGGTGAATTAGATATTTGTAGCTCAGGATGTGGATGTTCAAAGTGAGTCGTTCTCTACATCTAGGATTTCAAATTTTGTTCTAGACATCGTCATCAGTGTATCGGAGTTTCAATTAGTTGTGCGACATTAAAACGCTGGGCAACTAAAACCTTGGCTTAGAGAACAATTGAATCTGAACACGGTTGTGATAAGCATAAGCAGGTTCTCAACACAATTGTCACTGATTATTCTGTTTACTTTTTTAAATCAAAAACATGAAATGCGGAAAGTTAGATGTATGTACTGCCTGTTGTAAGAAGGTGTAGCAAATTTAACGTATTTGTAATTACGAGAAAAGTTATGAAAGACATGCTGTTATTATCCCGGTTTTCCTTTATGCTGACAGGA